GTATCCGGGCTTTTGTACTTCACGACTACCGAGACGTTATTTGAGATGAGCTACTAGTAACTACTCAGTAGCTTAAATATAACGTAAAGGTTCCCCTATCCCGTAAGTTGGCTGGACTATGGTAGACATTTTGGTTATTAGTGTCTGCATGATTTGTACAATGTACACTCACATGACTTTCATTTCACCGACCTTCCTCCTATCCTGTGCACGTCCATAACAAAGGGGGAAGCGGTGGACTCTACTTATTAGAGCTCATAAGCAGTGCATTTCCATGGCCGTGCCCGGGGTCGAACTACGGGGAGTTAACATGCGCCCAGCGTGCGCTGGTGGAGTAGTGTCCGCACGCTCGCCGGACACGTCATATGTGTGGAGTTTCTGGACACGTACTCCAGATCTTGTCCCAGATGATTATAATTTGTGCGAAGTAGCGTCGTCGTTATATCACGTGTCCTAGTCAGGTGCTGGGGGCAGACATTGACGACCAGTAAACAGACTTAAGAAAAACTAGTTCATCCAGCTAACGCAGGATGGACGAAGTGTCCCTCTTCGTGCTGCTATGATAGTCTTCGAGAAGTGTCAGCATAGTGCTGTTCTTGAGAGCCCCCTATTTTGAGGGCGTGGCTTGAGTCCCGCTTTTGTAGCACTGTTCCATTCTGCTTATTGAGAGAAAACGGATGTGAAAGAAAATATTCAGGAGTTGATGCAATAGTTCACCAGATACGGAAAATTGATAACTTAATCGTAAGTAACAGGCTGGACGTATTTGTTGTCTGTCTCTATGCAACTGCATTTAGCATTTGTTCGATACAACATAGCATTCGCATGAAAAAAAGGAAAACAAGGACCAAATTTAACATAAGTTTTCGTCGGTTGATTCCGATTTTCACGATAGTTTGCCATTCGCTCTCTAATCATGTGGAATGGTGTAGTTCCTCGCTGCGGCCCACGCAACTTGATATGCCGGCAAAGTTAGCATGCTCGCTTTATTCGATTGACTGATCTTGTACTTTCAGTGGAACGGTGAGTCACACTTGCATGGGTGTGTGAGTTAACGTAGCGCAGCTGAATCGATGCATAACGAAGATAAATGTAGTATAGAGGCACTTGGGATCATCCAGACTGTCTAATTTTCATTTTATACATAATTCCTCTAACTCATAGGGGTATCAGGAGTTTTCATGCAAATCGGAAAAGCCTTAGCCATATTCCACCAACACTGAACTTCAAGAGTGCGTCAAAATCATCTGGGTATCAATAAAAGGTTACAAGTAAGAGGCATGTGCACTTCAAATAGGTCCTGAATGGGAGAATGAAATTAACACACGGCGCACCGTGTGGGTTGCGTCACCGTGGATAGTTGTTGCTGTCAATGACTGAAACAATTTCTTGCAATGTACAACTATACATCCAGATCCGCGTGTATTGGAAACGGACATCTTGGCTAAGGCCCCAAAAACCAGCCAGTATTTGAGGATAAATCTGGTCGTCTACGCACAATGCACTATTCTCAAGTACACGTTTGCTTGGCAGATGTCACAACCTATAGACCATACTTTCAGGTCAAATTCCATCGAATTTATCAAGAAGGTATTACACATGGTACTGTCGCCGGAATTCCTTATGTCGTTTGGTGATCCGGCCTCCTTAAATGTAACATCGTAGTGTAAATCAAATGTCCAACAGAAAATCTTATACCATAGGCCGAGCGCAGCATAATGATGTCAAACCATGCTGTTTTCCTGAACCTGCTTCGACAATAAAAATAAATGAAACGATAGTTTGCTTGGGTATAGCTGGACCTAAGGACGGAAGTAAGACGCTTTAATGAAATAAACAACATGTTCAAGGGTCTGTCAGGTGATCAGTGATTTATCGTACTGATTTATTGTACTCCATGAATGAAACCCTTGATACCTGAATACATGAGGCTTCCCCATGGTCACTTACATGGAGACGTTTTGATACATAAACATGATTTGGGATATGTTTATGGGACTGAAAGACTGAATGTCTGGGGCGATTTCTGACATACATCTGTGTTTACCTACTTCAAACTAACGCAAACAATGCACCCTTGTGGCTGAAAATATAAGCCAAAGACGTGGCTGAGGATCCTGGTCGTTCGGCTGTTTACGTGCGCTCACAATATCCCAGCTATCGCGCAAGGCTGAGCGCATACAGTCTCACCCGCCGTCACAGGCTCTCGTGACGCTTTATTTGCCGCGTAAGCAAAAAGAATAAGTGAAACTGGGCTACTGCTAACACTTTCAACCATAATTCTGAAATCCTCTTTTACTCTCTCTGGTGCACATTCTTCCGGATGACAATTTAGCCACTATAATGTTGCGGAGGTGAATGATGCGCCGACTAGCATTATGCCTCGATGAAATCAGGAACGTATCACTGGATTTTATTTTCAGGGGACTTAATAGGTCACTCCAACGTCTTGAGTTTATTTTCATAAATGGTTCTTAAATTTCGTCAAACGTACGCCTGCTAGTTTCAAATGTTATTTCCACTTGCAATATTCCAGTATGAATAGAGGAAGCTTACCTTGCCCTTGTCTAAGCTATATTTTCTTTTAGACCGAGAAATATATGTGCATAACATATGAGCCGGTTACCAATCTTTACTCAGAATTCACACTTATCATCCACACATCAGACTTGCATGCCGGTTGTACTCCGAGGTGCAAACTGGCTTTAGTGTGTAACTCGTTGCTACAACTCACATATTTCCTCATGAAGCCGGTGCAGTCGTAAGTAAACTATAACCACGCGATCGATATTCTCATCCATACGGAGTCCTTCAACTAATCGACTAACAAAAACACCAGGTTTATTGTGCTTCAGATTTGTGCCGACAGACTAAATTGTCTCACGTGGATGTGTGGAAATACTCTTGCTGGCCCTGAGAAGAATGTAAGAAAATCGGTTCTCAGGCAACAAGTTATTTGATTGTTGTCTTAAAAAGTTCCATCTGTGCAAACTACTCTACGTTGCTCGATTTAATGCAAAAATGATTTTTAATCAAGGAAACTATACTGGCTTCATGAAATACACCGTGATTTCTTAAATAGATTTCCGAAGCTTGCGATCATCTGGAAACTTTGATTCTGTTTGGACCAGAGGGGCAAGCCTATGGACAAACACATGTAAAATCTGATTGTAGCCAGTCAAACGAAGCAGACACTGCAGAATATTTTGGTGGCTTCGAGATAATGGTATCCATTCGCTAACTTGAAAACACAGTTGGAAGATGGAAACTGACAGGAAAATCCAGTTCTCATTGTTTCAGCAGCATCAAATTACCATTGACATGAAGGCAAAATATTTATTCTGTATAGGAGAGGGAGTCGGTCGCATGATACAGACAGACCGGTTAATATGTATAAGTAGTATACATGTTGTGTCACATGGTCACACCGAGTTTTTGGACACAATGAAAGCATGAATCGATTTAATGAACCTCACCACATTCTGGAACACTTACGTTCTGATTCATCAGTAAAATAATGAAAGTTGAGCTTAAATCAACTTGGTGACCTGCGACCAAAGTAGTACTGTGGTACCGTGATAACTAAACATCTGGCAAAATTCTGGTGCTGTTCGGCTGTGTACCCAAAGAGGGACGTGTTTCGTCTTTCTGGTTTTGACAAGCCTATTGGTTCCATCTACATAGGTGAGCGCATGTGCACACAGGAATATGAATATCATAGGTTTACCTGCCTCAATTGAAGGAAATGATAATATTCTTGCCAGGTTTAACAATCAGATCCACGCAACACTCAATCACACTTTTATCGCTGTAACTATACTTTTGGTTGTGCTAGTGGTTAACCAATCCCCTTTGAATAGGAGCTCTACAAATAGGATAAACGATTACATTTTGGCTTCACTTCACTCCGTCGTTAATGAATCACTCAGAATACATATTTCACTCGAGGGTATCTGTCAGCAGTTCCGATATGGTGTGCAGATCCAGTGCGCTCGGGAGAGTTGCACTGTTGCTATGTTCAGTAGGACCTGAATGGAATGAGTCTGTTCCATATTGCAGTTCCCAGTCATTTTTTCTCAGTCTATGATGAAATGTGACCTTTAGTAAAGCTTTGGATAAGCTTCATGCTTTGCGTATTACTCCTGGAACCAACCAATATGTCACCGGTAAAAAGCTCGTAATATATGATTTCTGCTAGAAGATCATTCAACTGTCTCTCCATCATAATCGCAAAAGCGTTTCCTGAAGATGGACCCAGAGGACTGTCCACATCCCCTCCATCAAGTTATCAGTCAACTGCGGAGCTACTGGCTCGCTTGCTACGGAGGACGATAACAAGCCGAATCGATTTCCATACTTGCTTACAGCGTTCACTACTCCAGTCTGCTGGGACTAAACCCAATCACTTATATTGATCAGGATATATGAAAAATATCAATCATGCAGGGGCGTTTGCTATTTCTACTTGTCCGTGATCTGTAGTTCAGTCAGTCTGGACGATGCCAGTTAGCGACCGCGCCATATTCCCTTACCACAACTATACTAATAAACAAACCGATGCGATAGAGTGACGACGAGGAGCAAACCAACTCAATGTTTCATCCTCCCAACTCAGACCCCATTAAGCTGGATTTCCTCAAAAACGTTCGGTGTAGTGAATGGAGCACCAGAACACATACAGTCCACCAAAGGCCTAAGATTGTTGCAGCCTATGTGGATTTTCGTCGAACTTTCAAGGCAAATGCGTGGTTTGAACCGACTGATAGTCTGAAGTTTGACCAAAGAGCTCTAGGCCATCGACCAAACCCATGTTCTGTTTTTTGTTTTATCATACAGGTTTTTTTCGCAATGGTATGCTTTGAAGCCTGAAAGTGGTCACCACCCCACCGTCATAAAACTGCACGACAATAGTCGGGATAGAAATGCTGTTTATTCTAAACTGATGACTTCACTTCCTTTGTCCTGAACGAATTTATTCAGATGGTATCTTGTTTTTTTAGGCTCACCCGAAAAATCGGCATCCCAGTCTTTCAGATGCGGATCGAATGAAGGATGAGGTGAAGCCTAGTTACACCAGTGCTGCTTACGCAAATCCGCGAGCTAGCACCCCAGGGTTGGTTGTGGTCGGACTCAGAGAAACACCAACGCGTGAGTGACTGTCTACTCTTTCGTGGTTTACATTTTTCACCTTTGGTGGAACCCATACTACTAGTATCGTACCAGCCAAAACATGAGATAGCGTTTGTTCAGCGCACCCAGTTGAAGGATACCATAAACGAAAGATTCAGCCGGAATTCAGTTGAGTCTCCCATTAAAACCCATTTGGTGTGCAAATGAGTGTAGTACTCTAATTCTACACAAAGTGGGTTAAACCAGAACACGCGGTTCGCGGAAACTCGGGGACTACGCATACCTGATAAGCCCCAAGAAGGGCGAAACCAGTCGTGCACCGTCTAAGAGTTTTCAGCAAACTCTTGTACAATGTTCCTTGGTGGAAAACTGTTCGACGAGGCTACAGATTTATAGAGATATTCCACGTCGTATCCCAGTTATGTGTCGGGTTTTACTCCCCGGTCATTGTGGATTTTCAAAACACCCGGAAAAGAGACAATGTTGCAAGTTTGGGCACAGAATTTTCGTCATCAGCGCCTAATTTCATACTTCTTATCTATACAGCCTCCGTGATGCGCGTTCTCTTTTCCTGACAGGTAAAGTCAACAAGAAATGGTACGACTCAACGGCTATCCCTTTCATGGATGATCTCGACAACGTCAATGAATCGGTCTATGGCTACCACTGAGATAAATATTCTTCGAACGGCCACCGCTGACTTTCGGATATTTTGCTTTGTTTATCATCATTTCGTAAGTACTAAGCATGATGTTGCAGTGTAACTGTTTTTGAAGCGCCTACCAGCTTGTACAGCATATTGGGAATAAATAAGAATCCGGATAACAACGCGATATCCATACCATATTACTTTTCACCTGAAAACCTCCGCGTTCGCCGGGGAAAGCGATGCAGTATCCCACAATACACGCCAACCGTGTATGCCAGCACGGAATAGCCCATTGTAAATCCGCTCCCTGCCCAATGCCCCCACTCGTGTACACAAACCATATACGCACCGATCGATCGGATGGGTGAATAGTAGCAACATTACTTTTGAAAGTGACACAGGGATATTGAGGGTTTAGAAGATGCAACTGTCGTACTGTTATTCTAACTTCGTGACTAACCGATAGGTAAGGCAGATAACTAATTACCCTAGGTACAATAGTTAAAGCAGCAAACTACTTTGAACCGCAGCATAGTATTCATCCATTTATGGTAGAAATGATATTCAGATAAATTGTAAGATAACTAATGGAGCGTTCCATAAAAGCCTCAGACGCTGAGTTGGGGACTATCATACACTAGGGTAAGGTTAGTTGGGTAAAAAAGTGCAAAGATGTTTCGACATTTTTACAAAGGCTGACCAACATCTGTCATATACTTTCGCCGCCAAACCATAGTACGGACCAATCAACTGGGTTTCAGTGAAGTTGCACTGACATCTTGATATCCATTCGGGGCATACTGAATGTTAGTTCGCAAGCAAGCGAACACCAAAAGGCCGTACGTTAAAGAGACGAACAAGCGATCTAGGGTAGCCATGACCCAGTTTGAAAACACATATTCCTACCTAGTTTAGAAACGATATGCTCAGTTGCCGAACTTCATTGTGAGTGATGGTAACAATGAGACAGGTAGTTTTCCGTGTTTTATCGTCAAGGAACTTACAAAGACAAGACATGCGTACTGTCTAGGTGAGCCATTTGAAGAAATGCTTCTAACCGTAATGGATCGATCTGTTTGATCGTAAGGAGCTGGTGGTTTATATTTTGCAATTGCATAAAGTGACCTGGGCGGTAAATTGTACGGTTACACAATTTTTGAAGATAAACTACTTAAGAACAGCAGGGTTGAAACAACATCATGCGGCATCGGTTGTTTGGCTCAGCACTTGCTACGAAATTTGTGAGGAAATGTGAACAACTGAGACTATAATGCGAGCGTATAATGGAAACCAACAGACAATAAAAAATACAGCCACTGAAAATAAAAGACGCACGATATTCATACGAAGCCCAAACTGAACGAATCATGTGAGAAAAGTGTCTTGGCTATTCCTCTGTCAGAGTGCTACTTGGCTACTACTCATAAGTTTGCTGAAAGCTCTTCGAAGAGTCATCAGCAACCTATTGAGTAGAGTATCACCTCCATACGTGTTTGCTCACTTCCTCAGTTGGGTTCACTTCTTCCATCAATATAAACGGCCACTTCAAGCACGATTCCAGGTTCCCGTCCCAGACAACTGGGCTGAAACGACAGTAGTGCCCATTTTAAAAATGGGTACTCGCAGTGAATGTAGCAACCACAGAGGTGTTAGTCTGACGCCTGTTGTGACAAGGCTTCTGGCGTTATTGATTCTTCGTCTTGCGGTGGCGCGTGAACCCTTGACTCGTGAGAATCAAGCGGGGTTTCAACCGCCTAGAGGTCCCGTTGACCACATGTTCACACTCCATCGAGTTTAGAGCAATGCCGTATGCACAGACAACACACAATCTTGGTATTCTTTGACTTCAATGATGCGTTCGATTCTGTTGTTCGGCCAGTGCTGTTAAATACACTTGCTCAACAGGGCATACCCCAGAAGTTTGTGAAAATAATCCGATCTCTATAGTCGCATACTTCTGGGTGGGTGAGTGCATGGTGAGTCCTGCAAAAGCTTACGCACAAAAAGTGGTGTCCGACAAGGATGCCCACTCTCTCCATCCTTGTTCAACTTCATCATTGATGAACGCTGGAAGGTCTTCAAAACCCTGGTGTTCAAATTGTTGCTGGCGACAGTCTCGTTGATCTGGACTACGCAGATGACATCGCCCTGATCTTTGAAGACCCAAGCGAAGCATAAGCCCTGTTGAACAGACTGACGACCATCATACCATCTTTTGGTATGCGCCTTGCACCTTCAAAGTGCAAGCCCATGCTTCAGAACATGTAGTCTCCGAACATATCCCTACAATTGAAGGAGAATCATTTGGGTGCTGTGGGGGGTTGACATACCTCGGTAGTTGTATTAGCTCCGACGGAAATGCATCTCAAAGGCTCGGATTACGTCTGCTAATTTGCGCCACTTGTGGCGTCAAAAAGGCATATCACTAGATCTTAAGGGCCGCGTGTACATAGCTACAGTAAGGGCAATGTTGTTGTATGGGTGTGAGACGTGAACTCTGCGCACAGATGTGAGACGTCTTCAGGTATTTGACCACTGATGCCTCAGAAGCGTGGCAGGTTTCGAACAGCGTCAGCGTGTCAGTAACGAGGTGATTAGAAAACGGGCATTTGGTTGTATGGCAGTGAAACGTCAGTGTCAACACTAATGTTGCTGTCCTTGATGACGATGCAGAGGCTGGGACTAACCAGGGAACCGGGGATCGGTTGGTGGCTAGAATTAACCAATAGCTTTCAATGAAGCTTACGCTTCCGTCCATGCGAGCTGTGTCAGCTGCACAATGTAGTGAAAATTCTGTCCTGCCTGACGCTTGTCTTCTTATCCATACAATGCCAAGCATTCCATAAAAGTTCGAACTTCCCGCTGAAAGGTACCTGTCTTTCAAACACTGGCAATAGTCTCGAAATCTGAAGTATGAAACACCTATAACTTATGATCCTGTTCAAGATCAAACCGGAAGGTCCATGCTGTCGAACATCATAACTGCGGCAACCTTGGTTACACTCAGACCGCGGATCACAGTTAGAAACTTGCCAAAAGCAAGCTGATGATGAAGGATTTGCATCCCCTGAAGCTCTATCTGTTGACCACCCCCTTGTAATAAGTGGCTAAAAACGACCCAAAAGTGCAGGGTGTTGCGGGCTCGGGGGGTGACGTATTTATTTTCAGAGGCCTCAACGCCAATTAAACCAAATTACACAGCGCTCGTTTCCCACTGTAGTGGACAAATAGCTTGGCAACTGAGAGGTCTTCTGGACTCTCCTAGACGCTGCATCGTTGGATGTCAACTCGAGCTGGAACGAGGTCACCATTTTGAAAAGCCAGGAGTTTCGACTGTGGTACGGCTCTAACAAATCCACTTAGACAGACCAGCGGCACTGCAGAAGTGTTTTCACCGGTCCCGGACACAATTTAGCCCAAATAATCAGAAAGTGAGCCTTTTACGCCTGTGTACAAGTAAGGCAAATTTAACTGAGGAGGCCTAGGAACCAGGGAGTGCTAGAGTTTTCAGGTGATCCGCGTGACCGCCCCCCCCCCAAAAAAAAGAACATCCGAACTGGAGTGGCAGGACCGCCTTCAGTAAAGGAAGACAACTCAGATGCTGGACCAAGCCCTCTGGACAATTGCTGGCACTCATTCGAGTACCGGAAGTGCAGTCGAACCCAGGATAGTGAATCTGGAACCCTCTATGACCTGGAAGGTTTATGATTGCATATGCTCAGTAAACTGTCAAACCACCTTGGACAAAAATTCGCACGCACTCAAACGAGTCGGTCCCGTCACCACTGTTAACATCCTCCCGACTGCCTCTTAGCTTCATAATCACCGTTGGAGCTGGTTGACTACGTGCATCATCGAACGCTTCCTCCGCGATACACTGTGGATTCACACACTAGCCCCACGCTGTTTTCGGTAACAGGCGTACATGAAAGTACACTACTATTAGTCACCTGACATAAAAATGACGAGGGGACCAATAGGCGCTTATCAAAGCAAACGTCAACCGGGGGTTCTCCTCACAAGGTAGCGGAGTTCAGACGCCAGACGAGGGCCAACTTCATTCCTCGAGGTCTTACTAAACTACTTATACAAAAAGGGACAAAGTCCGAAGCGGTCCATCTCGCCAAGTAATGAATGCGCCTACTGGGGATTATTCGGACGGACGGTCATTGCCCTTCTATAATAATGATCATAAAAAAACATTTAGATGGAACACCTTTTCGGTGCCCAGCTGCCATGCCACTCGAAGGAAGCACAAGGGCTGGGATACTGCCAAGTTACCCGAGCCTAGACAATTACAGTTAGATTAGGATGTCAAACGCAATGTTTGAACGGCTGCCAAATAGATGTCCCGTAACTTATTATGCTTGCAGCTTGCCCAACGCCCAGAGTAGCCAATACACAGCAGTAAAGCTGGTTGCTATAGTCAGAATTACTACTGCATAGATGGTACTGACTGCAGCCACTGCGCTCACGGTAGTGGAACTAAAATAGTTCGTCGTGCCTCAAGTTCAGATGCCATGTTTGAGAAAAATCCGGACTGAGAAGAATTAGTAGTTGAGTAGGAAGAGCAACTAGCCGGCAGGTCACGACAAATAAGTCGGAGCAGAGAGCAAGACGGCTGGATAAACAGTAATGCAAAAGAAATCCAGCCCGAGTTTAAACCTTACTTTCACTAGGCCTCAACGCAGCAGCCAGTCAACACAAAGTTTTGATTTGAAACTGCACAATTCAGGATGAGTACTGCTGAATCCCGCGAGTTTATCCTCCCGAAGGCCAGCGGCTCAAATCACCAGATGTCCTAGGTTCTGAGCTTCGTAAGGATATGGAAAATATGCTCCGAAAATGATTCTCAGGATAAAGACGAGTTCTAGGTATTTTCGACCATTCAGCGTAGCTTGACTAAGCTTTGCGTGACAAAATTCCTGAATGCACAACCACTGCGGCGGGAATTGCGATGAAAGAAGAATACCAACAGAAGCATACCTTTGCCCGGCCGAAGATACCACACGCTGGCAGATGATTCAAGACCAGATGCGGTACATTCTTAACAATGGAATAGCAAATTCGAAACCAGTAAACAAGGAGCTATCACACAGGTCAAAACAATCGCCCGGAAAATTGCTTCTTCGATGCGACACGACACATATTGGTCGCATATACACGCACTACACGAGATATCCCGACAGCCTGATATAGCACAATTAAAGTGAGTAACCACCCTATGGAGGCAGGTGGGCGTTTACCAGGTACTTGGGAAGTGAAGGCGCGGTATAAGAAAACATTTTCACAATCAAGTACAGTGCAAGTAAAACGATGGTAAATGCTCCGATACAGACATCCTTGATTCGCAGTAGTCTTAGAAAGCGGAATTAAAAGTTATGAGACTGGTATTTCAGTTCCCTCGGTCTTTTCCAATTCTGACTGATGATCCGCGATAAATGTACGAAGTTCTTCAATGCACCGTTGGCCCCTTTCGTGCAAAATCTCCTTCAACATCGGCATTAGGCGACTTTCGAGTTCCGTGTCCTTGCTGAAAAGTAATAACATGATTACATAAGTAGGCCATATGGCTCATCGTGATACTCTATTGTATAATCACCAAAGTAGGGGGTTGGTGGATGACTAACGCAGTTGACAGAACTGGTGAGCTAGGGAGATAAGAAAATAAATCAGTGACGTGGTAAAACTATACTATTGTACCATCACCTCGCAAACTATTACGCTCCCAGCCACTGTCTACCGAAAAAAGTGACAATTCAACGATGCGTGTAATTCTTGAACAAGGCCAATTGCACTGCGGTGCAAGCCTCGAAAACCATGACCCGTCAGGCTTCAAGTCCGACGGAGCAGACTGGCGATGCTTACGTTAACTAGGTCCACGATAGAATGACGTCATATATTTTAGTCGTTATGCAACAGTCATTCTTCTAACGCGGTACGGGCTAGCAGTCAAAAATGAAACAGCAAAAACTAGCCAAAGCAGTTGAACGGGGTTACCACGAGTGTTGCCTAATCATCGGGGAACTGCTGAGCTGTCGCTTATTTTTAGGCGTGCCCGCAGGAACGTCACGGGTACTCAGATTCGAGTGAGCAAACTTGATGGTATGCTCTGGCAACAAATGTGAGGGATCACTGGGCAAATTCGGAAGTTCGAGTTGACTCTAGGGATACGTTGAGCAATAGACCGAGAAGTCCATTGCCTGGATATTACCCCGGCTTCGTGATTTTCCCTGGCTGGGATAAGGCCACTCGTATCTCGCGCAAATTATTATCAACAGAGCTGAATTCACAAATTTTGCCCAATTCACTGTGTTTACCTGCCAGCTGGTTAGATAAAATGAAGTGCTTGGTGAAGTGTTTGGTGTTAGAGGTTGATAAACAATCTGTCCAAAGGTTGGTAGCACCGTCTATAGTGAAAGGACCGACTGCTAGCATCTGTAGCCACAGGCTATTTCAATCAGCTGCGAGCCACTGAACGATACGTGGGAGAGGCCTAACTAGGCATTCCCTATGACTGGTTTCAATTCAAAGAGCTTTTTGGACCGTGAACAGTCGTGGGTTGTGGAAAAAAATTCGAATGACGAAATGAACATCGAATGGAACGCACGCCACAGAAGTTTTGCTCAGTTTTCTTTTTGTCCAGCAGCTCACAATTACATATCGGCAAATGACGAGACGCTTTCCGCATCTAGACCGAGTTACTTTAGAATTAGACGAAATGTAGTGTCTAGTTGTGAACATACGGAGCTCTTACACGTATCCTAATCGGTCCAAAATTCGATTCCAATTCAATTCAATTTCAGGGACTTGTACAAAGAGCTTATTCCTTACATTCAGCATCACCAGTTAACAACTTCTCCATGAAGTGAATTCATACTAACACCGGGTAAGAATTACACTACACAGCACCGATTTCTGTGCTTATTTATTTAGCGATATTCTCCGGCGCTCGCTAAGTGAACCTCGCCGGAGGCTAGGTTATCCGGTTCGGCACTCGAGCATTCATACGGGTAAAGTCAAACCCTCATTGCGTCTAGTGGGCATCGGTTTGTCGGATGAGTTTCACAAATTAAACCAGTCTAAGTTTAAGTGATTGTTGTGATCGACTCGAAATCAACTGAAAAAAGAACAATGAAGCCACATGTTAAGCATCACGAGGAAAACCGAATAACTGTTCCGGAAACAAACAACCTAATGCAACTTACTTTTCGGAGCAAGCAAAGCTCAGAATTTTAGGTACAAATTAGAACTCGAAGTAGACAACTGGTGAATACTTCCAGCAACTTTGAAGGAATGACAAGAAGCTCCACGAGCATGTTCATATTGCCCAAAGGGAATGTTACGGATGAAAACGACAAAACAACCACATGCTCGATGACCAGAATACACACGGATGAACGGCGTCAAACCACTTCGAAAGCTTGTCGCGCAAATAAGTAGATCAATCTTTCAGCTGTGGGTGCCAACAGCAAATAATAATCATCCGCTGGCTGAGAGAGACTACCGAAACTCAGTCGACGTTAACAACTCGGGAACAAATAATTAATTTTGAAGATTCATCCACCAAATCCAAGGCAACGAACACTCTTCCTGGACGTGCGGGAGAGAAACGAAATGCTAAAAGTATCAAAGGATCGGTTAGTAATCATGTCAGTGAATATCGGAACAAAATGATGGAAATACTTGCCTGATCAATGTTCTTACGACAGTCGTGAATGCTTCACAGTCACGCTTGTAATCCTGCACCGGTAACATAAACGATGAACAAGAGGCATACCTGAGCCAAGGTTTCTTTACGCTGTCGAATCAACTCTATAGGATCATCAGGAACGGAGACTGCAGTTTCAGTTTTGGATTCTAAAATGTGACCATGAAGAAAAATGGCAAGTCGGATACCACTGGAAAGCGTGTAACAAACCCAACAAACAACTAAGGTTAACTCCAGTTCATCGAAAATCTGGTAGCTAGGGATGCTGGGATGGAGACACTCGTGTGGTTCACAGATGGTGATATTCTGGCATTGATAAAAACATGTGGAACCCATGTCGTGCCTGGCAAGCCACAAACAACATTCGTTTCTCAAGCAGTTACAACCTAATCATGCCATCTTGTGTGAATACGAGGTTGATCAGCTTGTTCCTGCTTGGCACTTGATTAACAGGAGACAGATCTATGCTGGTAATCTTTTGGGTGCACGAAGCTCCTCTAGGCTCGACCTTGACAAGACAAGTTCTCCTTGATCATGGCTGCGATTCGTTTAAACCCTTATGTACGTAGTTGGGGATGTATTGTCCCGTGACGCGAAGCCACAGGACACATGGAAGTAAATATTTCATCATTTCCCAGTGTTCTGTTTCGTATGCTTGGTTTAGTTAGTGTTGTAAGAATCAACTTCGATATTTTATTTGGCAAAGCAGTCGGTACGTTGTCGGTATTATACACACGCTATCCCATGTTTCACTCCTAATGCTTCACCGTTTGCCGAACCATTCCTACTGACGACAACTGACGACGCTCGAGTTCGATAGCACAGAAGTCACCGTGGTTACGCTTTTGCTTGTAACAGCTGTGTGAAGGGTAAGAATTCCAAACTTAGAACGACTGCTGTTTTCACTCAAATCCTGAAGGCAAAGCAGCAGCAAGTAAAGTGCGACTACCAGAGTAGTCAATCGGTTTCATCGTTAATCTACATGGTCAGGGGAATGCGCGCCGGTGAATGTTGTAAAGTGGACCGCAAATGCCGCACGGGTCTATTCGGAGCTAGTTTAATGGGTTGCTGAGGCATACAAACTGCGGAGTCATGATAAAGCCTATTTATCAAAAAAAAATCAGCCGAGAAATGCGGGTAGACAATGCAACAGATCACACAGAACTTGAGACAGCTCATGAGAGTTTGAAAGAATGAGTAGAACGAGGAGTTGCGGCAGGGAATTCTGCTTGGTGCACTACCGCAAACATAAGGACGTTTTTTATTTAAAAGAATGGACTGACTGTCAACTGTTGATCTGCTGATCAACAGAAGGGATAGAGCGTCTCACAAGCTCGCTTAAACCGGCTGTTAGATAAATAATTCAGATGATTCCACCAACATCACTCTAGTGTTCTAGAGGATAACACATATGTACTTTCAGTCCCCAATGCCACTGTCATGAGCAACTCGAAAATAACTGTCAAGTAAAAAAAAATCTTAAACAAACCGTTCTCAGCATCTTCACCCTTTGAAATGTTCCGAGTTCCTCTTCGTCTTTTGGATGGGAATTCCGTTTCGGAGAAGCTTGAATCATCAGCCACGGATTCCTCCACGGGCTTCGCAGATCTTCGGGTTTTCTCAGGTGCCCGACGGGCCGATTGTGGCCAACCGGCAGCTTCATCAAACCTATCATCTTCGGACGCATGTATTCGAGAATCATCAGTTGATTGCTGATGTCGATCGAATTCAGCCCCACGATGCATTTTGCTAGTGGCTTGCCGACTGCTACGGGTTCCAGGCTGTTGATCCAACGACGGAGGTTGCTTCGATGACCCGACATAAGAACCTCGAATGGTGGGTGGACTGAACAGAAAGGTAGAGCAAGAAATCGCTCTTACTGAACTCAGATAGATCTAGGCAAGTGAAACTCAAAAGTTAAACTCTCTCCAAATGACCTATCACGACCCCAGGTCACTGCCACCAAGTGCAAAGCGAATTAGTCACCGAGAATAGAGACTTGCCGGGTCTAATGTCTCTCAAATGAAAAATAGGAAGCTATGGGTGAAAAAGCTTACATGGTGCATGCAACCGGCCACAAAAATACCCATAGCCAACAAACATGAAAGGTAGACTTGGAAAGAAACCTAAAGCTGGGTCATTCACAGACTTCACAATGACATCTGCACACTTAATATCAGAACTGCGCACTATGTGATGTGAATGATTTGGTACAAGACTCCCAGTTCATTGTAATGCTGAATCCTCGGACACCTATACAACTTCACGACAGGATCTGGGATGTCTTTAGTGAACTTGAATTTCTAGATTCTCTTCACCCTTCGCACATAATCCACTTTCCACCAGCTTTGCATTTTTTCCGGAAACGCGTCACTTTATAATAATGTCATGAATGGAATGGTAATCGCTCACTTTCGGACAGGATTTAGAGACATGGATCAACCCATCGTGAAATGGCAGCCAATTTAGGGATATAATATCCCCACCCATGTTATATCGCTCCACTGCCGTAACCACCATTCCGAGCTGGCATCAACTGCGCTTCTTTGTGAACCATTAGCCGTTATAGGGACACTAAACCAAGTCGCCGTACCCCGTTGCCCGAAACAACCAGGTTATGCATTCGTATTTCGTGCTTACCATCCATACTATTCAAAAATTAGATATCTATAAGATTCTCGTCTTATTACTTACAATAACTAACACAGCAGTATCACTTCATCAGATTCATACAAGATTCCAGAGGGGATGGTTTGCTATAAGCCGTTCAGTTTTAACGATTATCTGATAAAAGATAACTTACGAGTACTGTCACAACTGTAGTCTATTTACGAAGAACAGACCGGTCGACATCTAGCAGAACGATAACTCACTAGTCGGAGCCTTGTATCCGAAAACTATCGGAGAGGACATTAACAATAGTGTGGCTAAAAGTCAGGTGATGCAGTCCCATGGCTCTCACAAACTTTTAAGTGTGACCAACCGAAACTGGATCGCTGAATTTTATTCTTACAAATCGGATAAGATTTTACCCGAGTTTAACCTGATAAACACATGGAAAAAGCTTCCTTCGCTTAGTCTGTGTTGTTCCAAACCTACTTAAATGTGGATTTCGCGAATGTTTACTGGCGAAATGCTCCACACAACTGCATGTAAAATCCACAATAGTGACCAAGTTTATGGTTGACGTTGGGTTGCACATCAGCTGAGTTGCGTGTAAATAATACTCTGGAACACCCCGAACAGCTGCGCGAACAAAACCGAACTTCTAACAGGCCACGGACATGTAAATACTATGTTGAAGGCTATCGTTCACTTTTAGTGTCACGTAGGAAGAAAGTGCCAAGTTCCAAATACAGGTTGGACAAGTCCTTACTCTCAGCTTCAGTGAGTGACAGCATAAAAGACGCGGAAAAACATCCCGCTATAACGACAGTGGCGAATAACAAATACCTCAAAGAGTCTGGAGAATCAGGGAGTTGTTTTTGTCGCTTTCGCTTCGGAAGATCCGACTGAATTTCTTCCTTAGCTTGGTCAGGTGTGACGGTGCCTTTGCGAAGATGTTTAGTGTTGGCGAGAGGGGACAAAGATGACAAACGGTTATCCATGGTACGAAGTCGCCCGGCACCAGCAGTGTCTAAAGGTGCAGAGAGTTCGGAAGAAGATGAATCGACGGAGTTTCTACGCTTACGCCGGGGTAATCGAGATTCGTTAACGTCTGGCTGATTGCGTCGTTTCAGTTGTATCAAACCACTAACAAGTGACGATCCACCATCACCAGCTGGAGCAGGTGCGTTGGAAAATGAGTAGTCCGGAGCATCTTCCACAGGAGATCCTGAAGTAAAAAAAGCAGGAAATTACAGGTTTTGGTCTGAGGGGGGAGTTGCAGCAGTCTTTTGCTCTAACTCATAAAAGCTAACCCATCAAATACACTCATTTGCAAATTAATTTGGTTTTCACGGGTGATTCAAGTGAATCTCTCGTTTATGATGTTCTCCTGCGATATCTCGAAACATGAAGTAGCCTGTGTGCAGCACATTCAGTTGAAGAACATCATAAACGAGAGAATCACTTGAGTCCCCCGTGGAAACCAAACTGATTTGTCGAAATTAGTATAATTTGGGTTCAAGTAGAACAAGTAAGATTGACGGAAACTCGAGGATTGCGCCTACCTGATGAGCCCCAAGAAGGGCTTACCTGGTCGTGGGCTGTCGACGAGTTTCCAGCAACCTTGTAAATTCCTTATGAAAAAAGCAAATTACAGCCGAGAAACCCGGCATGGGCTGCATTATGGTTATATCAAGACTACTGGATGGTTTGATTGAAAAATCTACTTCCAGGAGTTGGTGAAATGGCCTGGAAACGGGTGTATGCCAGTCACCCAAGGACTGGACCTAGTAATTTGTGTGTAGATATCGCAAGCCATTCCTAAACCAAGGTCTGCAGTCCGACATGGGGGTGACCTGGCTCTCAGAATTGTAGCCTTTCGAGATTAACCATCAAAGTCAACACCACGAGACGGTAAGGCGTGTAACCAGTATCGCGGAAGCTGGATAATGGGATTCCATACCAACGTGATGGACCGCAACCTCCAAGTTATCTTTCATATGGACTGTATTTAAAAGGGAACTCGAAAATTTCACTTCTACACAACATCCGGAACGGGAATACCTCGATGCATCGTCAAGCAGGTTGACTCTACGCAATTCAGGATTAATTGCCACCACCTTGCATGTTACTGGAGACCACAACAATGGTTCGTGAAAAATTAATGATTTTTCCACGTCCACGTACACGAAAGCCACAGAAAGCCGGATGATAATCCCCTTTGGGACACCTTCAGTGGGGCTAGCGTGCCTTTTTTAATTTTACACAAAATTTGAATTTTTTTTAAACCGACTTGGCTAAATCTACCGGACAAACCGGGTAAGCCAATACCCTTACCTGATATACGCTGCCCTCTGCGAGATGCGTGAGAAAAGTTCAAGGGGGATGCAGTTCGATGAACGTCCTGGTAACGTGCAGGTTGGGCCTTTTGAGTAGAGGAACCGCGCACGACTGAGTTGTTCCGTGCTTGTATGCCTTGAGAAGATCGGGAACTGCTGCTGCTTCTGCTCATTGAACGGTAAGATTGATTACGAGGTGGATTGCGGTCAACGAACGAGCCCGGTTGTCCATCGGAAAATCCCCGAGCATCCGCCCGCAAACTGCCGGCAGCGTTTTGTTGATAATTCTTCCTGAGGATGTTAAAATTGTGGAATAAATATACGAAATTAACAAAAAGACTCCGGGCTCTGTGATTGTCCGGAAACCGCCTTTATTGCCAACACATATTCCCTGCAGTGATGTTCGAGGAATGTCAACCCTAGCATTGTCTCAGGCCATCGGCGTACAAACCCGAAATGTCTTGGCACATTGTATAGAGCACGTGACGGTGCTAGAGGTGATTTTCAATTCTTATAATCTTTTAGACAGAACAAATCAGGGCATCATACGGATGTGCTTTGAGTTTGGTTCATTAGTATTGGTGACAACTAGTCTCCCCGACACGGGTGACATTGGGTTCAAATGCTAGGCTGTTTCCATGTGTACAAATCTCAACTATTGCTCTAGATGTTCTTGAATGTTGTCTACAACGGCCCTAAACCTGAGCACCTAGTATAGAGCGAACTGAACTATGGTTACCACTAGCAGTCCGTATGGCTAATGAATAGTGCAAGCCACTAGAATATTTGCATGATTGTGCTCACCGCCTAGACTACGGGAACCACAAATCATTCCTCGCTGCGGTTGCCCGTTGTTATCATCATCGCCTAAACACTTTGTGGGCTTTGCATTAGTTTGTACCATCGTGTTTTGGGGTTGTTTTGATGCATTCTATCATTCTATTCATGTAACCGTTTACATATAAGCCGCAACACTGGCCAGAGTTCTAAGCCTAGAGTAGTACTAGAGGTGAATGTGACTTGTTGTACAGACCTAAAAGAAAACTTGCTCAGTGGTACCCAATTTGACTCACAAATACGGACTATCAGTTGAGCATTTCCAGGCTGTAGAACTGCCCCTTACTGTGCATCTTCTCGTTGTACTCCCTCGGGTTTATATTGGGTACAGGGCATTCGAGTGGACACACTATTGGTCCGATACCATATTAGGAATAGCTTCAGACCACTAAGTTTTATCTGATCCATCGAAATTCAGGTAAGCAGCAAATCTCACATTCCTTATTTCACAACGCCAAAGTAGAAATGGCACTGAAGCCTGGACTTGTGGGTTGAGCACCTCGGTTCAGTCCTTACTATTCCTCAGGACATCGGACCGTATTTTGGCGGGGGGTTGGGCATTTTAATGACACACTGAGCTTCCACATCAAGTTATCCGCTCGACACTCGTAATTTCTCATACCAGATTGGTTAGGGGACCGGAGCATGTTGTCGCACATCCTCCAAAAATCGCATCATCCGTTAGACACCGCCGCCTTGCTTTTAGAGCTCGAGATAGAAATGGTTTAAGGTTCGAATTTATTGAGACAGGTCCGTGGTTCGAACCCGATCTCTGCTTCTCGACTTCCTCTGTTTAGGCTTGGGCAACCTGGCAGTATCCCAGCCCTCGTGCTTCCTCCGAGTAGCGTTACAGCTAGGCGCCGGAAGGGTGTTATAACTGAGAGATTACATGCCACATACTTCAACCGGGCTGTCTTGCTACATACGGTACACTGGGTAAACGAGAGCACACCACCGGTGATGCCGTTCACCTTTCCTCAATTCCATCTCTTAGCCTCCAGGTCAGTCCATTCGTAGATCTCAGCCATGGAACCGCTCACATTGTCTGCTCTTGGCTTCATTGTCCTGTGTTATCGCAAACCACAGCGTGTGAACTCTGGAGCAAATCGGCGCGCTCTTCATGAACACTTAACGTGTTTCCAGATCCAACTAGGTAATCCAGCTCCTGGTTTCTCTATTTAGACGCTGGTGCCTACGAAATTCTACGTCCTCTGCAATGGTCAACACCTGCATTAACATACTTCTTAGCTTCCGAGCCAAGGCTTCCACAATCGACTTAATCTCCAGCATTAAACGCTCTTCTACTGTTCGCTTCCTAACAGGCATAAGGACGTGCGATAGCCGAAATTACACTCATTCTCTATTTGTGGATTCCGCATACGCATCAAACAACCATACCTCAGCTTTCCTCGCCTATTTTCTGAGCCGGCTTCCTCGAGGTTCTGTAAGTGCCACAAATGCCCAAATACGGCAGTTGACAGCAAAGCTCTAACACGTCGATCCGTTTCTTTTCAGTGGCATGGGAAACAAATACACCAAAGACTGATAGACTAAGGTAAAAAAAAATCGCTCAACTCGCAATACACTTTCGATACCTAGAGACCACGCCACCCGAAAGAAGCACGAGGCCTGAGACATTGGCAGGCTGCCCAAGCGCAGATAGAAAGCTAGACGCAGAGGTTGAATTTGAACCCGGTCAGTAAACTCGCTAAACCATCACTCTCCCCAGGGCTGAGTTACGTCAGCTTTACCTTGGAGACGTGAGCGCGGATGCTGCATTTAAGAACTTCGCCAATCCCTGTGCCGCGACTAAGACCAAAACACAGTTTTGGATAGTGGAATGAAAAAAAGTGAATAAAAAAGATGTGCAACTCATAGTGTGTGGACTGGGATACTACCAGGGTACCTTTCCTAGACATAAGGACGCGCAAAAGCCTAGATGCAAGGCAACGTTGGCAGAGAGCACATGGTGATCAAATATTTATCTATCGGATGCTGGAACACGGCCTCGAAGTTCAGTACATCTTATTTTAACCTCCAATCAACAACTAATTGTTTCAAGACCTTCCATCAGACCGACTTCAAAGCCGTTAGGCTTCATGGATCACTGGTGTGTTGCGTTGGTGATAACTGTACCATTTGGGGGCTGATGAAAAAATGAGCTAGCTACTGGACTATTATACAATTTCCGATACACGAAAAAACGTCGCCAAAAAGGCTTCTGCCACGCCGACGATAGTGCCAACCTGATCAATGGGACATCAGAGCCGGAGCATTCTGCTCGATGAAGACATTCCCGCGTTCGTCAATGATGAAGTTGAACATATGGCGTTGCTCTAAACCTGACGGAGTGTGAAGATGTGGTCAAGGAAACCTCTAGGCGGTTGAAACCCCGCTTGGTTCTCACGAGTCAATGGTTCGCGTGCCACCGTCGAAGAACCAGTGACGCCAGGAGCCTGGTCACAACAGGAGTCAAACTAACACCTCTGTGGTTACTACATTCAATGCGCGTACCTTTTTTGATAATGAGCACTACCAGCGATTCACCAGTTGTATGGGACGGTCTATTCCTCCTAGGTAGACCCAAGTAGGCACTGGCTGAGAAGTCCACCACCATCCTTGAGAAGAGCAGGTGGAAGTTCGTCAGGGCCGGCTGCACGATGACGCAAACACTCGGACACTTCTGAGGGTGCAGGCGGCCCCATATTAGTAATACATCTTTCTGTCGGAAGCCAGGATCCTGGAGTAAAGGTAACAGGTGACCAGCTGAATGGCTATTTGAAGTTCCGTGCCCAGCGATTCAAACGTTCTGCTTTGCTGCATATCAGGGATACATTTTGATCCCTGATCGTTTCGCTGACAAGAGTTGCCCCAGGGCTAGTCGAACGATTCAATTGGAACAGCATGCGGTCGTTTCCAGCATTCTTTGCATCTTCCATTTCTTCGCGCTTTCGGGTCCACTAAACTTCTCGGTCGGCACGGACACCCAGTTTAACCTGACGTCAGTTGATGTGTCGGATGTTGTGATTGCGGCCGAGGTATCTGTCGCCGGGTCTCCAGTAAAGACACGGTCCTATCAAAGATCCAATGCTTGGATGAGGTTGGCTGGGTTGTGCCGAAAACAGACGTTCCGGCTTTGAGTGACGGTTTGATATTTCCCTAGTGGTCACACCGCCCGGCAGGTATTCGAGAAGCTGGTTCTGATAGTTTTATTTGATTTCTGGGTCCACTAGCTTCTCAGTGGCCGAGCGAGGTGTAAGCGCTTTGCGTACACCCGTAAAGCGGCATCGTATAAGCGCAAGTTTGAACCCATGCTGGCGACATGGAGTCCCAAAATGAGAGGCAGGCGACCGACGGCGACCGACTGACGGCGATGTGGTCTATTTGGATTCCGCGCTGGTTCGTTCGTGGGGACCATATTGTCAGGCGATTCTCGCTGTTCCGGATAAGCCGGCACACATCTGGATTAAGCGACCCCCGTTGTCCATACGTCTAGTGTCCAACCTAGGACGACCACCCAATCAGGCCTCAGTAGCGCTTAGTCTACCTACCTGAGCGTTCGTCACCAGCAACCACAATGATACCTGAGCTTTTAGCCCGCTGTAGAAGGGCACCCTGAGCGTCATAAAAGCTGTCGTAAGCAGATTGATACTACAGACCATTGGGGCACAAGCAGATAATGCGGTGACCCCCACTCCCTTTAGCTTCTCTAACAGATATTGCCAAACGAACCGCACAAAGGCTATCAAAGAGTATCTAATCAAGCAGACACACTTCCGCTCGGTCGCTTAATACAACACCCACCCCAGCATATTCAGCTGCAGCGCACGAGCAAGAGCCACCTGTTGACCTGCTTGCTTCAGTATGCGAACATTAAGAACGGCAAAGTAGACCGGTTTTCTGGGTTTGAAGACAGACTTCAAAATGCTTAGGGTGATGACTTAACTCGGACGTTCAGATCTCAGCTACGTATGACGCGGGGCGAACAGAACGGTCGGAGTGCTGGGACCTGTGGAGAAAGTATTTATATTTGAGTGGGGTGAGTGGAGGACGGAAAACGTGAAAGCGTAGGAACGGAGGTGTCAGCAGTAGCATGTTTTCGCTTGCGCACTCTGCTGTATGCAGCAAGTAAGGTGACCCGGCTGATGGCACCACGCGACGCTCGATGAGGCATGAGTATTACTAGCTGTAAATGCCATGATTGTACGAGGGATAGTGTACTGCCAGGGCGACCACAGACGGGAGAACGATTAGGGTCCACAACCAAAGTCTTTGATTCAAAAGCCCAACCGCAATGCGGTTGTGTTGGGCTGGAAATGCAAGTACATTACGAATTTGAAGGAACACGGCACAACATGTTCCAACCCCCAATCTGGAGGGCAGGAGAGGAAGATTCTCACCTGCATGCAGTTATAATTTGTGTCGATGCTAATAGCCCCCCCCCCCGTTTATAGAGTACGCTACGCAAACTCATGGAACTGAAAATAGAACAACAGCTCTATGGGAACTCGAAATACCTCATACGGGGAGAGCCAGAAACCGAACGACCAGATAGACTACCAGTCCTTGATGACGATCCAGTGAAAGATCGACTTCGTGAGTTGCTGTATCGGTGTCGTCCAGCATTTCCACCCCCCGCGCCGTCAGACGAAGAAGATCCTGCTCGCATGCGACGCTCACCCTCAAAAAAGCCATTGGGAGAATTTCCCATTCCTCGACGATCATTGCCACGAAAATTTCCACGGAAGCCCTGGCGTTGAAAAGAACGTCCTCCACTTTGGCGTTGTTCCTCGAACACTGCACGAATCATACTGAGAGGTAACAGGACATACTTTTAGCTCTAGCTTTTTTCAGGTCTTTAAACCACGATAATTCCACGGGGAAACCCATAAGGTGTTTATTGTTGTACCTGACACAAATTAAATATGGAACAGTTGTACTTTGCGAGGATTTCTTTCGCCAAATCATGAGATTTAAATCGAATAGCCACTGACAGACGCTTCTTGTCCTCCGATGTCGAGAAAAAGTCGACAGAACACTTGGAATTGGTTTCTTCGGAAAAGAAATCCCTGAAGGGGTTAACACGGTACAGCGAAACATACTTGACCTTCGTCACATCTGTTGTGCCTGGTAAACCTCTTATGAAGAGCGTATGCCTGCTGGGAGCAACATTGCGGGGATTCACGCGATCGAACTGCTGACGCCGAAACATCGCAATAAAATGGCGGGACAATTTCAAACTAGTCCAGGTAAACAAATGAGCCTGGGATGTTCTGAAAAAGCTCGAGGAGGTTGATACTCGGTTGGAACTTGATGGTTGTTACGTGCTGATTGAGCAGCTTTTTGCCCATTTTCCTGATGTGCAACGTGTTTTCATTTAGCATTATTTTGATCCCCGAACTATTAGCAGGGGAACCCATTAGCCGCACAATGCCCTTGGCTGCTAAACCTTTACGAGTGGAGTAAAGCTTTTCGCGCGAAATGTTGCGTTTGGTTGTGTATGTGCTCAAACCGAAAGCCGTTTCAACCCACCTCCATATTTTTGCAGATCACCAAATTTCATTTTCTACTGAAGCAAACATGCCTCCGGCATAAGTGTGGCGGAATAATTTCCCCGGGATGCCTGAATGGGGCTCAAACGTTCGGACTGGTATTCTCTACTCAATTTCCCGATTAATTTATTTCATCAGGGAAACGTCAGAACCTTCGAAAAATTCACTTACTTCTGCGAATATGGGGTAGCCTATTAGCATCTCGAGGAAAAGTTCTAACCAATGTCTTCGTGTTAAAAGAAAAATCTGCGGTATGTATTAGTGGTTTCCCTGCATATTTTCAAAATAACGCGTCCCCCGATCTACCTTGCCTTTTTCGGAATCTGTTTAAGTTTGATTCTTTTCCAATTTTTATTCCGTATTCCGGTAGTTTCAGACAATGTGAATTATAATCGCTCTGGTTAGGTGTCTCATAATGGAAAGCATGCATTCAGTAAGCTCGGTTACGTCATAAAGAGCAGCTGAGTTGCCAAGAACCGTAGCCAGCGACTGGTCTTCATCATGATAGCTAGTCGTGTTTTCACCTACTTTGGTTGCCTATCGCAACCACCTGGCCCGTAATAATGCGGACTCATGATTATGGAGCACGAAGGCCTAATTTAGTGGCCAGAGACGGCCCTTCATAGTCGAACTGTGGACATTGTCCAACGTGCGCGCACCTGAAAATTATCAAAATGTTGTTACAGAAATCTGTTTTTATTGGATGCAAAAGTGATTCTGAAATAAAACGCATTCAATCATTTGTCATGTACATTGTCGGCAAAAGCGTTGGGATATCTTTCTTTTATACAGTTGTGAGTACCCACTCATCAAATTCTTAAAAATTTGGATTGTCGGCAGGGGTCGATGTCTACACAGGTTTGCTGACGTTGGGGTTTATTTGCGCTTAAGCTGGCGCAGGTGAATTTGAAGATGAAGAGGGTTGTATACAGGACAGTGGTACCATATGCCTCAAAGACCTTAGGAGTCTTCAGACGCGTGCGCACGGATGACACAGTACACCGGGATAAACATCGGAGTATTTGAAACAACGTTTCCTAGGTCTGGACCAAGTTTCATTGGTACTATTTTCCGGCAAGTGAAAATATACCAAATTGTTCAGTGAAGACAGATTTTGTTGCTATTGGTCTGACTACCATTCGTTAGACATCCTGTTATCCTATCCTACCAGCGTACCTTGCGGGATGACAGCAGCAAGAGAACCAGACTGATACGTGAGGGTGGCGTCACAGTCGGATGTGGCCATGGAAAGGGTCTAGACGTTCTGTCTATGAGAAATGAGAAGAGGTCGCGGTCATCTTGAGATTGAAATAAAGGTCAAGAAGAGTGTCGTTGTGGACCGATCGACGTTCACATCATTGCATAACCCCTGATGATCGCTTGATGGATGGAGGGTTGTAACTGCTCGGTGGACCGTCAAATGGAAAAGACCGATTCGGTACCACGTACACACTCACTCAGAAACCACATACCGTAATGTACGCGTTATTACAGCAACAGGCACTATATAACTGTCGGTCTCACAGACATCAGTGATCGACTAGTGCAGTCGGCATACCGCGGCGATCGCACGGGATCCCGTCAGCTGATACAAGCCACCAATTTCGTGAGAGCCATCACCTTACAACGCCGATGCTGATCATCCGGGCCGGTGGTCTTGTGGTGGCCTGATATCTGCTGCGTCTGTGCAATCGGATACTTGGTGCAGTTTCTGGTCTTGGGTGTCTGAGACACCTTTGATTTTTCAAAGAACCGTTTGTTCTGCCCTGCAATTACCCTCAGCAGACAGTCATGCCACTGAAACCTAAGGCGGGGGCAGATGCGGCACTGATAGATAGTATTTGGTTAGCCACCGCCAATGGAATGGCAATTGGGTCAGGCGATTCACATATGAAAACTTCCCTTATTCCAGGGAAAAAGTGGTCTCAAGATGTGGAAATTCTGTGTATGCAATAAGGCCACGGGGATTGGGGAAAAGGACCAACATAAGTGCTAGCCCAGGTGGTAAACAAATGGGAACACCTCGTGACTTGCACAAAAGCTAACTGTGAGTAGCAACTGCTCTTCACCTTGCAGCAGACAATATGATGGTACGTCGGTTTTGTGTGCTTGAGCTGGGGTGTCTTAGAACATCTTCATCGGCCCGTATTGTCATGTGGCAAACTACACAAGGAACATGGACTTTTCCTTTCCGGTTAAGTGACAAGTGGCATGCATCTCAAAAACCAATCGCCTAGCCAACAAACCATTTGGATTGCAAGTTTTAGGTTATCGGCCCGATACGCAGCTTTTCCCAAAGTCCCATTTACTTTCTCCGTACGGGTACTGGTAGCTTTTTCAAAGTGAACACCCCGCGCTACGCACGCAATGAGCCACTCGCAAAACAACTGGTCACTCGTAAAACCATTAAGCACTAAGCTGGGAGAAAATTCCTTCTGGGGTTCTCCGCAGAATTCCTAGGTCAAGGTAAAATTAACGCGGTTATTTTTTTGGTGAGTAGTTACCTACCTGGCTGCGTTATTGAATCGGACCATGCGATGGAGAGTGTCAGCTGCAATTGGAAAGTTCTACAAAATGGAGACACCTTGGCAATATGATCAAACTTTTGCTAACTAAGGAAATTTTCAATTTTGGGATTAATCACATCAGTTTCTATAAGCCTGTGCAACTGTTTCTTCTGCTCAAATTATGGTTTGAGAGGAATTTCGAGTGTCTATCCAGAAATTATCTTGCCATGGTGAAAATGTAATGGGCTCGAATTCAGGGATATCTTGTTGACGAATTTGCCGTTCCGGGTTAGAAGCCTTTCGGAGGGCCTAAAAGTAACATACGAAAGATATCTCGGTAGTAGTGGTGCATGAAGAACCAGATAGGCCAAGTAGTCAAATACTCTAATCAATTTGTCTTCAACCGCTGCCTCCAAATTAGAGGTGTAATGTATCCAACAACTAGCAAAACAGCTAAAAATCTCTACTGCTAAGCCAGAAGGACGAGCACAAGTATTTAATCTTACTCTAGACACTCGATGTAAACCCGGCACTTCTTTACGAAGAATCTTTGGTCCCATCTGTCACTCCATGATTTCGTGACAATTTTTTTAGCCGAAAAATTCCGAAATTAAGTTGTCACTCAGATTATTTTCGACCTCCAAAGGGACTTCCGATTGAGCCTTTCGGGTTTGTTCCTAATAATTTGGTTTCACCTTGGCAGATAACCTGCAATTCTACCTGGCTAAGCTTCGTGGGTGCAAAAATACACGATTCTTAATATCAGAAGGAGCGCGAGTAGGCCGTAGGTATTTCCTCGGGATATAGCTGACTGCAATAATCCGACGTCGTGGACGCCGATTGAATACATGAAACTGAGCTGATGCTCGGATGTGCCCTTCGGAACACTTCCGAAATCACAGTTGAACCGAAGAAACATTAAATAAATTTGAGGCATTTAACGGTGTTTATTTGGTCACTTAGAACTTCCCCAGAGTCACGGTCCTGCAGATATTTGTTTAGGCATACTCAAGGTCTTCGGAATTTATTTTTAAAGGCTGTCAGCACGTTTCTGTGAATGCTGTGGAACGTTTTGTGGAGATATTGGATACGGTACCTTAGACGCACAATGTTTTTATCTACAAAATCTCTCGAGTGAGTTTTAACGTCACATTCTGTTGTAAGTGTCCTTATGCCAAAAACCATCCAAATGTACAACGAATTTCACACTTAGTTTCGATTATTCAATTTTTAAACCTTTTGCGCGAATTTGACTTTGAAACTTCTGTGTCATAGTTCCAGAAGCGGCTCCGCGTATTTTTGCTGGGGAACTTGGGCTGTATCCTTTACGTCCTTCACGGGGTAGGAGAAGGCGTCAGATGAATACACGAAGGTTAACTCCGCAGTAGCTGAGCGTTCATCCAGTAGCCGCACCACAAACATTGTGTTGTGTTCCGAGTAGATGTACCTTGAGTGCATCAGGCGGCCTAAAGGACAGACGAGAAGTCGAGGAAAATGAATAAGCCAGTAAGCTTAGCATGCTTTACAGCAGAAGGACGCCACTCATAGCACCGGCTGTCAGGTGCGTTTTTGTCTAAGTAGGTAGGGAAGTCAGCGGAACACAACCATAGGGCTTCTAATTTTTTGCAAGATCAGCTTCCGGAAAATTGACAGCTAACCGAAAAGGAACTGAGCACCAAAGGGACCTACTGAAGTATGGAGCGACGTTATGTGAAGTAAGGCAGTCTGTGGCCGATTGCTTAGGAAAGGTTATCACTGAGGATATACAACTACCACCGGAAGTGTTGACCAGCTTTGTTAAGTAGAGGCCGCATAGTTGTGTTTTACTGTGGCAGATGATATGCCTTCGGTTCTAGCAAAACATCGGGAGACCGGGCGCGTGCTTGTGTTGCGGTCATTGGGAGGCCACTGTAGCCACATATGTTTCTCCATGTGGCAACACAGCGTTGTTCCGACGCTTCTCAGAGGAAGTAAATTTTGACGCACGCAATAATCAGTCCTTGGTAAGTTTTTTTAAAGCAACTAATATCAGGCCTGCAGATATAAACTGTACACCCTCCTTATCACGGGTGACATGGACACTGGTTGCCTGGTTATGTATGCCTTCCTGAAAAGCGAACATTTTGCTCCCTCCCATAAACTGTTTGTCTTATTTATGGCGGGGGTCCTTGCGATCCTAAGTGTCTTCCACTCAGTACTTGTGAATTACCTTAGTAGACGCGGCTTAATCAAGCAGTCAGTGGCACTCCTCCAT